CTTGTTGTGATAAACAGCTTCTAAAATCTCTGGTTTATAATTAGAATCTGCTTATCTTATCTTCGGAGATCAGAGGAGAGGCAGGCTGCTTCTCAGCAGAGTTTGTTTCCCTTGACTCCAAAGGTCAAGGTGAGGTCCCTGTTGGGGAGGGGGGAAACTGCTGCTATTTGGAACCCTAAAAAGGATCAAGAGAATAAATGATACCAAATGCTGGCGAGGATGTGGAGGAAAGGGAATGCTTATTCACTGCTGGTGGGATTGCAAACTTGTGCAGCCTCTATGGAAAACAGTGTGGAGAACTCTTAGAAAACTAAAAATGAACCTATCATATGACTCGGTTATACCACTCCTTGGCATATACCCAAAGGACTCATCCTATTATAGAGACACTTGTACAACCATGTTTGTTGCTGCTCTTTTCACAATAGCAAAGAGATGGAAATAACCCAGTGTTCCTCAACTGATGAGTGGTTAACAAAAATGTGGTATATTTACACAATGGCGTTCTATTCAGCAGTAAGGAAAGATGAAATAATGAAATTTGCAGGTAAATGGATGGATCTAGAAATTGTTATACTAAGTGAAGTAACACAGACTCAGAAAAACAAACAACGTATGTTCTCCGTGGCTCTTAGCACCAAATCCTCTTAAATTCCAGGTTCTTTTAATAAGATGATGATATACAACAGTCCCTTCTGCATGAAATAACTACCATCATCATGACTTCAGCTGAGCCTGATCGCTAAACATAGTGACAGTTGGGCTTGTTGACAGTTGTGCTCATTCATTAAAGGAGGGCCAAGCAGGGTCACTGGACCCTCACCTGAATATCCAGCCACTCTTCCCAGCCACTCTTCCCAACCAACTAGTCCAACCTTGGAAGACAAAAGAAAAATGAGGAGTAACCCAATAGAGGGATGCTTTTGGAAGCCCTTGTCAAGAAACTCCAATGAACTCTCATATGAACATTTGAAAATTGCCCTGTTCTTTTTTCTAGCTCTTGAATATCTAGAACTTGTAATGCTAATTGCTCTTGCCTTTACTTCTCCTTCACATCTCCCATTCATGATTCAAGGACTTTCTTCTCCCCTTAGAAACAAAAGTTATGCAATTTGGAAGTGTTTTAGATAGACCCACTGAAGGCGTACCCCAGTTGCCACACCCTGCATCCTTGTTCAGCATGGAAGAAGCCAGAGTGGTTGGCATCCCTATTCCCTGTTGGCAATTTGGGTAACCCCTTCAGAGGATGGTGTGATAAGACTAGGAGGTAGGAATTCCTAGGCAGTTAGGGTAAAAAGACCCCAAAGAAATATAACCAGTTTCTTGGCTAAAAGTCAAAATGTCCTTGGGCCTGTTAGCAACTACTCTGTTCCAAGGCCAACAATGTCAAAAGTATTTGGGAGCTTGCAACTAATCCTTAAAAGATTTTAGGGTTACCTCTTCAGAGGGGGGAATGTTGGAGGGGAGGGAGTGGGCATGGATTTGATCAGAACACCTTATATGCATGTATGAAATTCTCAAGAAAGTTTTTGTAAAAAATTTTTAAAAAATGGAAGACTAGCCTCATGAGGAAAGCTACACGGACATTGAGAGTATTTGCTTCATCTGTTCCATGCAGGTGTGCTCCCTATTGGTGCTGTCACAAATCAGTGCAGAGTGAGGTGTTGGAAATGTTAGTTTATTCTCTTATAGTTCCGAAGGCCAGAAGTCTGAAATGGGTCTTACTTGATTTAAAGTGAATCATTTCCTTGCATTTTCGGCTTCAAAAGGCTGTTTCCTCTCTCGTTTTGCCTCCTCCCTGAATCACTCACACACACTGTCTGCTTCCCTAACTCTGGTACATGGTACCCTCCTGGAAGGACCCTTGTGATTACTTTGGCCTTACTCAAATAACTCGGGAAAGTCTCTCCAGCTCAAGAGCCTTAATTATAAGTGCTACTTTCTCTTGCCATGTAAGCAATGTATTCACAGATTCCAAGGAGAAGGGTATGGCTAGCTTGGGGAAACAATTATTCTGCCTATCATAGTGGGGTTTTTCTTTCTGTTTTTTAAGACAGGGTCTCACTTTGTAGTGTAGCCCTGGCTGGCCTAGAACTCACTATGTAGACCAGGCTGGCCTTGATCTCACAGAGATCTGCCTTCCTCTGTCTCCCAAGTGCTAGGATGAAAGGTGAGCACCACCAGCCCCACTACAGTGGGTTTTAGAGAGGGAGAAGGCAGTAACAGGTTGAGAAAATTGCTTACACTCAGCACCTACATGTCTATCAAAGCTGGAAGTTGATAAAAATCATGACCAGAAAGATAGAAGGCTTGGTACAGACTCCAGGCTTTGAGGAAGGCTTATAAGAGACTTACCAGTTTATTTCCCCTTTTCACTATGGCTGTGTACTTGTTTGAAAGAACAAAAAAATTTTTTGAAAAACATGAGTTTGTATGGGCGTGCGGGGATCTCGGGGCGCCAGCTGCTGGGCGTGGTGCTGGTCTCCCACACGTCGTTGGAGTGCAGTGGGTCCCGTGGACCACGTCTGCTGTTTGGGTCCCTGGCTCTCCGCCACTGGGGTGTGCGGGTTTCGCGCACCACGTTGCTGAGGGTCTCTGCTACCGGAGCTGGCGGCTCTAGGACCGCTGTCAGCTGCCTGGTCAGGTTCCATTTCAATTTCCACCGTGCACTCCCTCTAGGGTTCAAGACCCGTTGGCCACCAGGTCACGAGGGGAGGCGCGAGAAACGGTGAAAGCAGGGTCTTCATGAGTCGATGACGGAAGGATAGTGCCCCCCGGGGAGACTGGATCACAGGATTTAGTGTTACAGCTTCAGACAAGTGACTCAGCTCAGATCTCAGTGATTCAGCTCCAGCTCCAGCTTTATTGGGGTAAAACTAGGACTATTTATAGTGTGGAGACAGTAGAAGAAGCCTTAGCTGATAGGTACTCCTGGAATGCTTCATTTACATAGGGCGGTGGGCTTCTATCAGGCTATCAGACAACGCCTGATTAAAACCTGGTAGCTCCTGTGCCGGAGGGCATGAATCTTGTGACGGGCACTTCAAAAGTAAGTCAGGGAGGAGAGCAGAAGGTGCCCCGCTGAGACAGGGAGTCTCCCCATTTGCGCCGAGCCAGCTTGTGGCTATCCAGACATGGGGAGACTGCTACCCTAAACAGGAGGGGTCCCCAACAAGTTTGAATTGGGAAAACAAATGAAGTTTCAGGGTGAAGATGGTGGCTCACCCTGTGGCTGAAGTTGAATGAACTGATGGCTGTGAGCCTTTATAAAAATTATATTTAAAACCCAAAACTTATAAGTGGTGAAACGAAAAATCTTGAGAAAAGGAGAAAAGTAGTTAAACTTGAAGTGAACTTTTATTTAGTTGATCTCAGAATATTTAAGACTGAAAATATCTTTTAGATTTACTTTATTCTCATGTATGTGTCTATGTGTGGTAATGAGTCTACCTACAGAGGCCAGAGAAGATGGCAATTGGTCCCCTGGAGCTAGAGTTGCAGGTAGTTGTGAGCCACCTGACATGGTCGTTAGGAACCCAACTCAGATCCTCTGGAAGAGCAGTACATGTTCTTAACGGCTGAGCCATCTTTCCAACCCCTAAGACTGAAGGATTTTTGAGAAGGGTATGACTGCCTAAAGGTAACAGTGCCTGTAGCTATCCCTTAAGGATGATAGTGCTCAACTCACTAAGAGTTGAGACTTCTTGGAGCTTTGCTGATGCAGACCCTTCAGGGAGTGAATCAGTTCCCAGGCTGCTGGGACTGATAAGAAACCTGTTTCTGGGATGCTGGAACAGGTTGGCACAAGCCTCACCCTGCTTTACACACATCAAAGGAGGTCTGTTATTGGGCCTGTCGCCATGGCCTTAGGCAAGCTGTGCTGTTTTCTTACTGTAAAATTTCTTTTGCACTGTTTGAGCACTTATCATACATAAACTCTATGTGAACTTCCAACCCTGAGCTTCCCAAATAAAAGCTTCTCAAGAGGACAGTATACTGCTCCTGAGCCACAAAACTTGTTTAGAGTCCTGGTCTGAACATCTGGTCCACTGCACCAGTCACAGGAGGGCTGACTCAAGTGCCTTCCTTATTAACACTCCAGCTGCTTCTGCAGTGATCTCAGGCAGGTTGCAGCCTGAGTTCTTAGGTGGAGGAAGACCCACCCTGAGATAAAGCTTCAGGTTCAAGGTTTATTCAGGAGGGGAAAATCCATAGCAGAAGGTCAGGAAAGTAGAAGAACAGGGAGGAACCTAAAGGAGTCAGTTATCTGGGTTGAAACCACTGTAGGCGATTGGGGCAGTAGTACTACTAGGAAAACCCTGGGAGCCAATGTAAAGCACAGCAGACTTGCTCCTTTGGCTGGGGAATTGACATCCCCATCAGGTAGTGGAGAAGGGATTCTCCTGAGTGGGCATCTCTTGGCATTTTCCATCTGCCCAGGAAAAAGCAAAGGACTCCACATACAAAAACAAAAGCCCTCAGGCCACAGAAGCTCTGTTTTAGTACAGAGGTAAGGAGGGGGGCTGGTGGAACACTGATCTGCTCTAAGAATGTGTATCTTTAGCCCAGCCACTGGAGTGACTCAAAGGGGCTGATTTCCCATGATGTGGCTAGAATGGTAAAGAGCAGGCACAGGCCAGGCACAACTTCAGCACTGCTACAGTATTTCAGAACTAGACAGGGCAATCAGAGAGCAGATCACAGTTTTTATGCTGAAAGACACTGAATTAAAGACAGAAATTTGAATGAGTTTGTCAAATGATGTTTACATGATGGAAAATGTAAACAATGAATTCTTAAAATAGCACTGCCAAGGAATACAAACGGAGAGGTCAGTATGCGTAAACTTTCACTTTGTGGACCTCCTTGTCTTCACACTCCCTCTGCTTGTTGTAGTAGTAGAAGGTATTGTCCCTTCTCTGGAGTTTCTTCACGTATCCTGTCTCCGGCCAACGGTCTACCTGCACGTGAACAGCCAGAATATAAGCACTGTAATGCCAATTTTATTTTATGTCATATTTCACTGTCAAATAGAGTACAATTTGTATCAAAACTTCAAGTGTAATATTAAATTTAAAAACACTTGCACTCAGAGTATTTTGCACACACAAAACCCACCTTAATTTCCTACCTTATGCTGTAGGACAAAACAAGTAATGAATTTAGTGTTTCGAGTTGGGTTCCAGGGTTTTAATGTGTACACTGGGCCAAGACCGAGGAAGCATTCCAAATAAAGTTCATTGCTCTTACGTTTACAAATGATTTAAAGCATGATAAATTCTAAAATTGATATCCCAGGAGGAAATTGGGCTCCGGTCACAGGGCCCTGCTGAAACAATGTGTGCTGATCATGGATGCATGCTAACGGAGGCCAGCAGACTTAAAGCGTCTGGTGGTACTTCCTTCTGCCCAAGGTTCACCTTCAAGTCTGATTTTTTTTTTAATTTTACGTGTATGCGTGTATTGCCTGCATGTAGGTAAGTGCACCCATGTCGTGCAATGCCCTCGGAGATCAGAAGAGGCTGTCGGATCCCCTGGAACTGGAGTTATGGACAGTTGTTAGCTGCCATGTGGGTGCTGGGAATCAAACCCAGGTCTTCTGCAAGAACAACCAGTGTTCTTAACCACTGAGCCGTCTCTCCAGCCCCATAGTCTGATTTTTAATAGACACTTGAGATCATGAACACAGTCCTCAGCAATTGCTTCGTCTTCCCACTGTGCACACACGTTTCTTTTTTGTCCTTCCCACTATTTTTTTCTTCGTTTTTCTGATTTGCTCATTTTATCATTTGGTTTGATCTAATTTGAACATTTTTTTCTTCTTCCTCTCCAGTTTCAATGTCATGACTTCTTGGTCAAGTTAATATGTGGTTGTTTTTTGTGAATTTGTTTGTTTGTTTGCTGTGTGTGCCATGTAGCCTGAGGATGACCTTGAATTTCTGATCTTCCTGCTTCCACCCAGGGATTACAGGCAAACACCACTGAGCATTGGGTTGTATAGTGCTTGGAATGGAACCCAGGGCTTCATGTGTACTAAACAAGCACTTTAGGGAGCCACATCCCCAATGCTAATGTGTGTGGGGGTGGGGTGGGGGGATGTATAGCCTTTTAGGACATTTTTTTTTTTTGTCTTTTTGAGACAGGGTCTCCCTGTAGCCCCCAGCTATCCTGGAACTTACTATGTAGACCAGGCTGGCCTTGAACTCACAGAGATCCTCCCGTCTCTGCCTCCCAAGTCTTTTAGGACATTTTTAAGAGTGTCAAGTAATAACATCTTTGGCCCATAACTCATCACAGTGCATCCTAATGCTAAGACCAGTGTGTTCTTGTTACTACTGAAAACTACTGAAAATGTTCCTTTTGGAGCCGAGCATAGTGGCACACACCTTTAATCCCAGTACTCTGAAGGCAGAGGCAGAGGGATCTGTATGAGTTCAAGACCAGCCTGGTCTGCAAAGCGAGTTCCAGGCCAGCTGGGGCTACAGGGAGACCCTGTCCCAAAAAGACAAAAAATAAAAAAGTTTCTTTTGAGTTTTTGGGATGAACTTTATCCTTGTTAAAAACCCAATCCAGGTTTTGGCAACTCTAATCCTGTACTCAACACTATTAATACAGGAGAGCCTTCCTTTTCACAGTCCTCTTACCAACCACAGCCTGCAAATAAAAAAACATGAGTAAAGGTGTGTGCGTCAGGTGGGCTGCTACTGGCTGGTAATACATGTTCTTTTTGCTTTTTCCCTTTCCCTTGCTTTCACTTTGTTTTTGTTTGTTTGAGACGAGTCTCCTTATGTAGCCCAAGCTGGCCTCAAACTCAAGATCTTACTTCAGTTTCCTGACTACTTGGATTTCAGACATGTTCCACAATGCCTGGATATTGCATCTTCTTTATTTTTCTTGTCTGATTTATACACATATCTGTAAAAATAAACCTCAGCACATCTGATCAACTTGGTAGGCCCTGCAACATTCATCTTGTAGGAAAACACCAAGTCTTTCTAGCACTAAGTCAAAGCTCCCATTATGCTCAGCAGGGAAAGGGGCTGTTGTCAAGACACTGTGACAGGTTCCTTTACTACATCCTGGAGATCATCTTGTTGAGTATATAAATAGGCACCCACTCACTCTTCACAACATTCAGGGCCACTTTACATGAGAGGATCCTCCAAATTGCTAGATCACATCTGGGCTCAGCAGCCTATAGATGTTTTTCTTTGGATCTCTTGCCATCTTTTTAGAAACATATTTTTATTGAATTTTTGTGCATTTCATACATACATCTTAATCAGATTTAGACCCACTCCCCTATCTGCACCCTCCCCATCCCCTGCCATCTCTTAACTTCTTTTCTCTCTTTGCTTTGAACTTAATCATGGCCATTTGATCTGGACCTTCCTTTCTGTGACTGGACAGAATGAGACGATCCTCTAGTGAACTCACATTCTGCTCAGGCAGAGAGACAGTGGGCACGAATAGCACCATAATAGTGCATGGTGCAGGTAAGGAGACAGAGCTTTGCTCAAACCTTCAGATCAGACCACTGCCCAATGGCAGGGACATTCCCATCGGTGCAAGCCTTCAACAGTCATCCTGTCCAGATGTCAAGGGGAACTACAACTTCCACTGCGGCACGAAGTCTTGCTATTGTTACTTATTTTGTTCTCCAAGAGAATGAATGTCAAGAAAGCTATCATTAGTCATTCATTGAACACTTATGTTTATTTATGCAACAAATTGTTATGAACACCACAGTATCAGACACTCAAACATGATTTTCTTCCCTGCCCGCCTCTCTTCCTCACTGTCCCTCCCTATCTCCCTCCTTCCTTCCCTTCCTTTTTGCTTCAGAGTCCAGACTGTCCTCACACTTGCTATCCTACTCCCTCCACCTCCTTCCTGAGTGCTTGGATTGCAGTCATGTGTCATCACACCTAGCTTCTATGATAGTTTACTAAGGCAGGCATTGCACATACACACAGGCACACACACATACACATAAAAATAAAAATTGTTCTTTAAAAAAAAAGTAAAAAAACTGAGGTAAGAATAAATAGTTTAGTGTAACCCTAAATCTAAAATTTGAATATATTTATAAATACAATGTAAGAGTCTACAATAGTCTTTAAAAATCATCTCAGGGGATTGGAGAGATGGTTCAGAGGTTAAGAATTTTTGCTGCTCTTCCAGAGGACCCAAATTCAATTCCCATTTGAGTTTTTGGGATGAACTTTATCCTTGTTAAAAACCCAATCCAGGTTTTGGCAACTCTAATCCTGTACTCAACACTATTAATACAGGAGAGCCTTCCTTTTCACAGTCCTCTTACCAACCACAGCCTGCAAATAAAAAAACATGAGTAAAGGTGTGTGCGTCAGGTGGGCTGCTACTGGCTGGTAATACATGTTCTTTTTGCTTTTTCCCTTTCCCTTGCTTTCACTTTGTTTTTGTTTGTTTGAGACGAGTCTCCTTATGTAGCCCAAGCTGGCCTCAAACTCAAGATCTTACTTCAGTTTCCTGACTACTTGGATTTCAGACATGTTCCACAATGCCTGGATATTGCATCTTCTTTATTTTTCTTGTCTGATTTATACACATATCTGTAAAAATAAACCTCAGCACATCTGATCAACTTGGTAGGCCCTGCAACATTCATCTTGTAGGAAAACACCAAGTCTTTCTAGCACTAAGTCAAAGCTCCCATTATGCTCAGCAGGGAAAGGGGCTGTTGTCAAGACACTGTGACAGGTTCCTTTACTACATCCTGGAGATCATCTTGTTGAGTATATAAATAGGCACCCACTCACTCTTCACAACATTCAGGGCCACTTTACATGAGAGGATCCTCCAAATTGCTAGATCACATCTGGGCTCAGCAGCCTATAGATGTTTTTCTTTGGATCTCTTGCCATCTTTTTAGAAACATATTTTTATTGAATTTTTGTGCATTTCATACATACATCTTAATCAGATTTAGACCCACTCCCCTATCTGCACCCTCCCCATCCCCTGCCATCTCTTAACTTCTTTTCTCTCTTTGCTTTGAACTTAATCATGGCCATTTGATCTGGACCTTCCTTTCTGTGACTGGACAGAATGAGACGATCCTCTAGTGAACTCACATTCTGCTCAGGCAGAGAGACAGTGGGCACGAATAGCACCATAATAGTGCATGGTGCAGGTAAGGAGACAGAGCTTTGCTCAAACCTTCAGATCAGACCACTGCCCAATGGCAGGGACATTCCCATCGGTGCAAGCCTTCAACAGTCATCCTGTCCAGATGTCAAGGGGAACTACAACTTCCACTGCGGCACGAAGTCTTGCTATTGTTACTTATTTTGTTCTCCAAGAGAATGAATGTCAAGAAAGCTATCATTAGTCATTCATTGAACACTTATGTTTATTTATGCAACAAATTGTTATGAACACCACAGTATCAGACACTCAAACATGATTTTCTTCCCTGCCCGCCTCTCTTCCTCACTGTCCCTCCCTATCTCCCTCCTTCCTTCCCTTCCTTTTTGCTTCAGAGTCCAGACTGTCCTCACACTTGCTATCCTACTCCCTCCACCTCCTTCCTGAGTGCTTGGATTGCAGTCATGTGTCATCACACCTAGCTTCTATGATAGTTTACTAAGGCAGGCATTGCACATACACACAGGCACACACACATACACATAAAAATAAAAATTGTTCTTTAAAAAAAAAGTAAAAAAACTGAGGTAAGAATAAATAGTTTAGTGTAACCCTAAATCTAAAATTTGAATATATTTATAAATACAATGTAAGAGTCTACAATAGTCTTTAAAAATCATCTCAGGGGATTGGAGAGATGGTTCAGAGGTTAAGAATTTTTGCTGCTCTTCCAGAGGACCCAAATTCAATTCCCAGCACCCAAACCAGGCAGCTCATAACCACCTCTAACTCCAGTTCCAGGGGATCTAATACCCTCTTCTGGCCTCCTCAAGTACCTGCACAAATATGGCACATACACACACACACACACACACACACACACACACACACACACACAAATATAAAAAATAACATGAGAAAAAATATATTTAAAATATATATCTCTTCTGTTCTCATATGACATGAGAAAAATTAACTTTAAAATATCCATCTCTTAGGTTCTAATAGACTAAATGAATTTTTAAAAATACTGCATTATAAATGGTGTAAGGTTTAGATTTTAGTCTGTCTTTGTAAGGCAAATCTGTCCCTATGCTCTCAAAAAAGCCTGGAATGTATAACCAAAGTCAGGAGCTGTTCCTTGACAGTTTCTTATCATGTATAATCTCCACCAAAAAATATAATTTAACAAGGTGTGGATACTGTAGCTCACATTTGTAATCCCAGCACTTGGGAAACAGAGATAGGAAGATTGCTGTAAATTTAAGACACGCTGGGCCACATAGTGAATTCGAGGTCAGCTTGGCTAAAGAGTGAGATCCTGTCTGAAAAAACAAACAATTCCCCTATAAAACACAAAAGAGAAAACAATATATACAACTCCTTACGCATTCATAGTCAAAATACAGGGGAAGTAACTGCTTTACCACAAACAAAGTATCTTATAATAGAATTACCAGAATAAGGGAAAGGACTGTTTTTATGGTCTACCATGAAAGATTAATTGTGTAAGGGCACTAGTAGTTAAATCATTCTGAATGTGCACAACCAGGGGTCACATTGCCCCCTAGGCTGTAAACCATCTGCCTGGGCCCTAGTCTCCTTTTCATAAATAAGTTACGGAGAATTCCCTTCTGTTGGTCTCTATTACTCTGTTTTATAAAGTACTTTACACCATCTAACAATTTCTTTTAAAGTTCAGATTTGTAGAGGCATAAGTCTTACCATAGAGACTTGTTTCACTTGTTTATATTCAATTTCATCCCGATATCCTGCTTGTTGAAATCTGTACAGATTTTCTATCTCTTCTGACCATTGTTTGGCACGACTGATTGATTTTGGTTTCACGTCAGAGCTAGCCATGACTACAAGGTCTTATTAAAAATTATTTCTGAAAGATGTTAAAACAACATTAATAGGTAACATGATTGCAATTTTCAAAATCTTTAGAGTAAACTGACAAAAACAGAGAATCTCAGGAAATATTTCGCATTTTTTACATTCATTTCCAAAATTTTTGGACAACAAACAAAACAAAATACCCCAAATACTCTTAAACCATGAAAGATACCAGAGAACTGTTAATTTCATGATCAAATAAAATTCCAATTGGAGTCACAGAGTAATGTTCTAAAAGTGCCAGTTCTGGTATTCTGGACAATAAATAGCACATGTTTATGAAAACAACAACATACTGCTATGTGCAACTGCTCAGTAAACTGCCAAAATATTCTACCATTATTCCACTGATACCTCACCAACCATCATTCTCACTCTCTCTCTTTTTCTCTCTTTCTTAAAGAAAGGATGCAAAGGGCTGGGCATGGTGGTGTACACCTTTCATCCCAGCATTCAGGAGGTGGAGGCAGGTAGATGAATCTCTGTGAGATGGAGGCCAGCCTTGTCTACATAGTGAGTTCCAGGTCAGTTGGGACTACAGGGAGACCCTGTTTCCAAAAAACAAATAAAGCTGGGTGTGCCGGCACACACCTTTAATCCCAGTACTCAGGAGGCAGAGGCAGGCGGATCTCTGTGAGTTCAAGGCCAGCCTGGTCTACATAGTGAGTTCCAGGCCAGCTGTGGCTACTGGGAGACCCTGTCTCAAAAACAAAAAACAAAAAACAAAACAGACAAACAAATAAAGAGGAATGTAAAAACAGTCATCCTTAGCAAGGCATGGTGATTCACTTGGGAAGCCAAGGCAGGACCATGAATAAAGCCAGCCTGGGCTGCCTTGTCTCAAAACAAACATTTAAACAAAAATTCCGTTTTCTCCTTGCCTTCCTTTTCTTGTTCCTGGGATACAGTGGTTACTTTGTCTACTTAACTGCTTGAAGACATCATAGTCCATCTGCTTGGGTAACTATGTCACACCATCCTGTAATAAATCAACATGGGGAAGGAAACTAAACAAATTCCATGCTAGACTTTCAGCTGTTGTGATACTAGATAATTGATTTGAAACAGCACAAGCAGTCACTAACAGTTTAAGACATTCAGATGCCCAAATCTAGTTCACATTCATTATGTAGTCACCAAAGCTATACAGCTCGATTTTTCCCGGTGCTGGGACTGGAGCCCAGCATCTTGTGCGTGTTAGGCACTCACAGCCAGCTTTTCTTTGTTTTTCTCAGCTACTTCTTATTTTGTTATCAAAACACTTCATTTAACTGAAATAAAACGCACAGAATTTTCACCAGGTACTCAAACTCCAGATCTAATGCCTCTGGCCTCCATAGGCACCTGCACTTGTGCACACGCATGCACAAAGATACATATATACAGACACACACACACACAATTTTAAAAAATTAAAAATAAGTCTTTAGGGTTGGAGAGATGGCTCAATGGTTAAGAGCACTGGATATTCTTGCAGAAGACCTGGCAGTTGACAATCATCTGTAATTCTAGTTCTAGATCTGATACCCTATTCTATTCTCCATAGGCACTGCAAGAGATAGGTGCACTTACATGCAGGCATAACACTCATACAAATAAAATAAAAATAAATAATTTTAAGTCTTGGGCTGGGCGTGGTGGCGCATGCCTTTAAACCTTGGGAGGCAGAAGCAGGTAGATCTCTGTGAGTTCAAGGTCAGCCTGGTCTACATAGCCAGTTCTAGGCCAGCTGGGGCTACGAGGAGACCCTGTCTGAAAAAGAGAAAACAAAACAAAAGAAGACAAAACAAAAGCAAGGTCTTTAGGACTGGTGAGATGGTTCAGCTGCTAAGAGCACTGGCTGCTCTACCCAGCACCAATATGGCAGCTAACAACCATCCATACCTCCAGTTCCAGGGGAATTCAACACCTTCTTTAGACCTCTGTGGGCATTGCACGACATGGGTGCACTTATATTATTCAGGCAATACATATAAAATAAAAATTATAATACATAAAATATTTTTAGAAACAAGTCTTTAAAAGAAAGAACTCACACCACCCCTACACAGTGCAGTTATTACAGACACTGTGGCTCCTGCTACGGTAACATTCAAATTAAATTTTGAAAGATCTGCTAATGTTTTAAAAAATATGTATTCTTACTGAGAAAAAAATAGTAATTTCCCCAAACTTCAAATGAATGCAGCATATTTTCCACTCTTCCATTACATGTAGCATTTTTTTTTTTTTTTTTTTTTTTTTTTGGTTTTTTTGAGAAGGGGTCTCCCTGTAGCCCCAGCTGGCCTGGAACTCACTATGTAGACCAGGCTGGACTTGAACTCACAGAGATCCACCTGCCTCTGCCTCCCAAGTGCTGGGATTAAGGAGTGTACAACTATGCCTGGCCTACATGTAGCATTTAAAAAATACTTTATTTATTATTTTATGTGTATGAGTGTATTACCTGCATGTGTATAAGTGCACCCATGTCATTCAATGCTCATGGAAGTCAGAAGCGAGCATCAGATCTCCTGGAACTGGACTTAGGACAGTTATTAGCTGCCATGTAAGTACAGGAATTGAACCCCAGTCCTCTGCAAGAGCAACCAGTGCTCTTAACCACTGAGCCATCTCTCCAGCCTCACATGTAGCTTTCTTATAGGTATATTTAACATAATTGTTTGACCTGAAAATAACAAAGGTTATATAGGGAACATTCAAGAAAATACCTATTGAATGACATGAACAGATAAATGCATTTTATTATATATCAAAAAGCCAAACCTAAGGTCAAAGTGATGAGGAAAACAAAACTACTTTTAGAAAATAGTTTATCTGTAAAGGTAATAAGATACAGTCACTGACTTCATATAAAAATATGACTAACGTGGTGGCACACACCTTTAACCCCAGCACTCAAGAGGCAGAGGCAGGCGGGTCTCTGTGAGTTCAAAGCCAGCCTGGTCTACATAGTGAGTTCCAGGACAGCTGGGGCTACAGGGAGACCCTGTCTCAAAAAGACCAAATATATATATATATATATGACTAATTTTAGCCAGGTATGTTGGTGCACGCCTTTAATCCCAGCACTCGGGAGGCAGAGGCAGGTGGATCTCTGTGAGTTCAAGGCCAGCCTGGTCCACATAGTGAGTTCCAGGACAGCTGGGGCTACAGAGAGACCTTGTCTCAAAAAGACGAAAAAAAAAAAAAAGACTAATTTTGAGTATAATTTTAAGATAGTGAATTCGTGTTTTTCTCTTTTATGTTTCTTCGTGTCATCTACATTCTGTATGTAATCTGTCTCTATATAAACGGGTTATCATTCCATACAGCATGTTTAGAACTCACTTGTTAGTCATAGTGTGTTTGTGCATCAGTGACATGGTGAGCTTCACACTGAAATGGATGGAATGAAAGCACAAGGACCTGGCTTATTTATTGTTTTGTCAGGCTTTCCAGATTTTACAGAAACCTGTACACCTACCATGACAAGTAATTCCTTTAAAATACATCATGAGTCTAAATCTAAATCAGTAACCGAGAGGAAAAAGTTCTTAAAAACTCACATGGTAACAAAATCCTAATTTTCTCTAGTCCAATCAATGCACGTCAGCCTACACCTTAGAAAAATGCTGAGCTGCTTGATGTGGGTCTGGGAACAAACTCCAGTCTTCTGCAAGAATAACACATGCTCTTAAACACACCACACCATCTCTCCAGCCCCATCTAATTCTTCCTTGATGCCTTTCTTTCACGTTATTAAAAAACGAAACTTGTGAACTGAAGTTCTCTGAAGAAGTCACAAGTGTGTAGAAATATTGCAGCTGGATTGCCTGACTAGAACTTAATGACTGTAGATGTTACAGATCAAGAGCAGTTTTATCCAGGGCTATCCTTAGACTCTTAATAGCTATTTACTACCAACCTCTGCATCTGACCTAACACCTCTGTGATTATTAAGCAAAACTTCTAGATTGTACTACTTAGCAGACCACTATCATCCACCAATTCTAAAGCTAAGAATGTTATAGCATCTAAAACCCAAAGAATGACTTTCCTGCTCTGCCACGACCTGCCTCTCTCATGAATCTACCAATGTACTTAGTGAATCCATTGAGTTAGGAATTTCCCTTGTTCTGTGACTATAAAATTTCATTTAATGATTTCCATACTGGAACATGGCATGCAGGGTAACCTGAATCCATGTTCCCAGGTCTAGTCACTCACATTTGGCTCAGAATTATCTCTTGCTGTCTTTGGACTATGCTATGCTATGCTATGCTTTGAATGGATAAGACAAAGCTAGAAAAGAGGAACCTAACATTCCTTGATTAAATACTTCAGTGATTCCTGGAAAAATCCAGTGGCATTACCAGTTCTCTTAGTGACATTCAGTACTTTGAAACAGTGATTTCCTTACTGATCCTTGTAGGGGGGAAAAAGTTAAAAATACACTTGCCTCACTAGACAGGAAGCTCTTATGGGACAATATGTAACCTGACAGCTCTAGATGAGACAGAAGTCAAACAGGAGGGGAAAAGTGGAGGGACTGAGCTTTTGAAATACTTCAACCATGACTAAAGGAAAAACAGAAGCACTGATAGAAATTAAGATTAGTAGAACCAAGAAACCAAACTGCAGAAAAAAAATTATGGCACAACCCTCCATCTTACTGAATGTAAGCCAAGTAATGAACCAATAGAAAGTTAGGAAAGCTACTACTGCTAAGACTGCAGTGTTCTTTGGTTGCTCATGAAATTGACCTCAAGCTATCCAGCTGGATGCAGATGCCACCACTTAGTTGACCAAGGAGTAAAGACAGAGAATTTCTTACCAAGGAATAGAACTAAAGCTAAACATCTTTGAAATTGCTAAAACTACAGAAAGTGCTGGGTAGTTTCTGATCAGATACTCACCATGCTGAAACAGAAGCACATCTTTTTGAAGTGCAAATGATAAAACACATCATTACCATTTCAGATGAAACCTTGCTACCTGTTGGTAGCAAGA